AGGTTCATTAGGAGGTCACAAATTAGCGGTGAAAACAAGAAATATACAGCCATCAATTAGGTGGACCCTAATTAGTATAAAACTATTTTAAGTCATTGTATATTAATACCGAATAGAAATGCTCAACAAGCTAAGCACATCCAAATATATCTTCAGTTGTAAGTATAACAAATATCCAGGCAACTGCGGAAAATCTGGCTAGTTCAACAAATATTGTATTATGATGCCTTGTTGTTAATGAATAGTGACATAATTTATAACAGAACATGGGATGAACAGATCCTAAATTACTCGCAGTCATACATACGCCATCATGAACAAAATAAGTGGTAAGAAAGCACTTTCAGCGTTTAGATAGAAAGTAAACAGATGTTAAAACTCCTACCTTCTAAGATAGCTCTTGCATTTTGGATTGAATCATTGCCCAGCAAAGTCGCTTTTCCTGATCCAGTTTGGAGGAGATAGGGGCATGGTACTGTTACGCACTCCACCTAAATTTCACAAGAATCGGTAATGCACAACCTCAAGAAGATATAGTTCGTACAACTATCTCTACAGAGAAATAAGTGAAAGCAAGACCGTTTTCTGACTATTGTTGCAACATTCAATCTTGTCTATATAGAGAAAAAGGTTAAAGAAAGCCTTGCCTCTAAATGTAGCATCCATTTCTCTCAATTCTCCCTCTGCACCAGGTACGTCGTCAAATGATTGCTCTGAAACACAAAAACTGGTAATCAGGTACAATACATGCAGAAACGAACAATGGAACAGTTTGACTGCAGTTGCTCCAGGCATCCCGTCAGCTTTGCATTTACTGAATATAATTCTAAATGAGATAGCAAGCACTTGATTTATAATAACATGTTGGAGTCAAGGGCTCGCTGTGTATCAGATATTTGGTGAACAAATTTTTGGATCTTGTGCAGTGAATATAATTCTGAATGAGATACGCAAGTGCTTGATTTATAACAGCACATACGCAATCTAGACATGTTTGTTTGGAGATTATTGTGAACACAATCTTCTACCTCCTGTAAAATACAATCTTCTTCCTGTGCCGCAATCTTCTTCCTCTGAAACGAGCCTGAACCATCGGGGCAATGAGATTCGGGAGGACTAACGGGGGCTATCTCCCTGTGAATTTGGTGGAGGAGGAGACACCGACGTCAGGAGAACGCTTCTGGCTTCCACATGAGAGAGAGAGAGGTTGGAAAAAAATAGTGGAGCTCAACTCATCGCGCGCTAGGGGCGGCTACAATGGCTTCCCCACCGTGAGCTCCAAATCCATCCCGTCACCTGTGTTCCTCCCTTGTCTGGCCATGGAGCTCAACTCATCATATCCTTCCCACTTTCCAGATTGAAACATGAGAAGGCGCACAGTGGGGCGGGAGTGGCGGAAAGTAGGGAGAGGTGGCGGCGGGGCAGCGAGGGTTTGAAACCCTAGCAGCGGTCGGGCGTGGGGGTGGGGGTTTGGAGTGCTGTCTCGTGGGGAAGTGGAGAGATGGAGCTGCTCCTGCCGCCACCCCCAAAGAAGAGATCGGGCCGATGGAGCAGCACGGGCGGCGGCGGAGCGGGAGATGGGGGCTGCGCTGCATTGGGAGAAGTGGGGAAGAGAGAGGTCGCCTCGCTGAGGTCTCGGAGGCCGCGTCGGAGCCGGGGGCGGAGGAGCAAGACGGCGGATGGGTGCGGGCGCGGCTGCGGTGGGCGGAGCGTCGGCGGCGGGCGGCGGGTGGCGCGCGGTGAGGCTGGGCCGTCGTCCTACCACCTCTGCTCAATATAACCGGTACAGGGAGGAGAAAAGAGAAAAAAAAAGCCCAGCCCGCACGACCTTCCTCCTCGATCTCTTTGTTCTGATTTTTATATTACATCTAAATCTGCTGCGAACAACTTTCATGTTAGTTTTCGGAGCAATTGTCATTGTTGGTACCATGTTTTCTTTTTCATCTTAAAACAGGCTGAGGAGATTCCGAGTGAGTTTCCTTTCGAAATCAGCAAAATCGAGGAGCTTACCAGGACTGACGTTACTCTTACAAGATGTTTAAAGGGTGAGAAGATTGAGGTGTTGGTTTCCATTCCCAGACTTGCCAGTGATGAGGAGGACGACGATCTGCAGGAATCCTCAAACTCGTCATCATCATCTTCAGACGAAACCTCATCATCTTCAGACAACGAGACCTCATCATCTTCAGAAGACTCTTCATGGTATTCAGACGAAACCTCATCCTCTTCAGACAACGAGACCTCATCATCTTCGGACGAGTCCTCGTCTTCAGATGAGTCATCATCATCTTCGGAAGATGAAGCTAAGAACCGTACAGAAGAATACAACCTCCCTATTTGCAAAAAAATAGAACACAGCCTCCCTCTCATGGTCACTGTGTCGAAGCCTGATGGCTCAAGCATGAAATTTGCCTGTGACGCCTATCATGACGAGATCACCATCGATACCGTGTCTGTGAGGCAGCGACCATCAGGAGCTGAGGAAGGAGATAATAATGCATATGATGAGGGTCCTGATTTCAGGTAGGCAGATCCTTTGGACTTCGCTACCTTCGGCATTGATTTATCTCTGGTTATTAATTGCTCATACCATGTTGTGTGCAGTGATCTGGATAAGAACCTTCAGGAGGGACTCCACAAGTACCTGGAGGTCCGCGGGATCACTCCAAACAACATAAAGTTGCTGCACAAGTACATAATCAGCAAGGAATGGCAACATTATCAAGTCTGGTTGGCCAAGCTGCGGCATTTCGTCAGGAAAAATTAAGACCATCCATGAATGATCCATCCTCGGCATAAGACAACAGTTTGTTTGCACTTTCTTTTTCGTGAGCTCTGCGTGACATCCTCTATACGAGTGGATATCTGGATCATTTTTATTGTAACAACATTTTTGGCGACTAAGTAGAAACAATTTTCCTATTTTTGGTGGTGCTTCTTTATCTCTATGGATGTGCTATATATATGCCCAGTGTGTTCTCAGTCCCCAGCGTGCACCTGCTTCCTGGCTGAAGCATCAGTTTAGTTCTTCAATTATTTTTATTTTTGGAATGGGATGTTTAGTTCTTAATTAGTAAATATAACCATTATATGATTTTATTCACTACTCTATCTACTGTTTGTCTGGATGTTTCATGGAACAGTAGACGATGTTTTGTATGAAAGGTCACCGGGGGCTAAACCAGCCCACCTGAACATTCCATTAAGCTTCAAGCGGCAAAGTAGCTATTACCGTGTGTGGCGCACATGGTGGTTTCTCATGGCACTGTTTAAATCTGGAAGACTATCCACCAGCAACGAAATAGTTACCAAGCTACCTATGCTACAATTAGTATGGCAACTAAATATTTCAGTTTTCATGCCTGATAACTTCTTCTGTATAACTCAATAACTCCTATAGTGTTTAGTGATATCTTATGAAGTGGAAAAGGTCGTTCAAATATTATAAATGATTTTCAGTTTTCATACCGGATAGTTACTAAACAACTCAATTAACTCTTGTAGTTCTAAATAAAATGCAGAGAACCATCGCAATTATGTCCTCATTAGCAAAAAACCATCACTTTATAAAATGTTGCAGAATGCACCGCATCGAAAAATTGATAGTGGACCTTATGTGCATCAAGAGAGAGCACTAGCAACTGGCTCCCTCTTGCTGTGGACGCTGGAAACTCCATGTGCACGCGCTTCTGTCTTCGCCATGCCCGTGCGCGTCTCTGCCAAGTAGCCGACCATGCCATATGCTCAACGACAGCCTCGCCTGCACTGCTGGCGCTGGCCCGCCAGTCTCCGACTCTACGCCACTGGTGGATGAGGAACACGCGTGCAGCGAATTCCCGCAGCTAGTTGCCCTGCTCTACGCCGCCGACCAGAGCGCGCCCTCGGGTTAGAGCTCTGCTCCCTCATCAAAGAACATCGCCCACGCACTGGATTCGAGGGAGCTCGATGTCGCGTCAATCTCCCACTTGTTGTAGATGCGAGCACACTGGTGCCCTCGACAGCCCTGTATGTGAGGCCGGCTGTGAAGACGATACCGGGGGTGGCGGCGCTGCGACACTCCTACAAAGGTGGCGATCCAGGGGGTGGCGGTGCAAGCTCCATGTCACCTGACAGCCCTAGATCGGGCTGTCTCCTGTGTTGCGTTCATCCTCTGTGTTTTTACAGGGTGTCTATGTGGCACATTTTTTTTCCAACTCAGCCTGACGGATGGGCTTGGCCGATTAGTGAGGTCAGCAATGCCCTTAGCATTTACTGTGTCTGTTTTTCCACCATCAGTTTTTTGGTGTGGTGCATTCTATCACGTTTTGTAAAGTGATGGTTTTTTGCCATGGTGCCACAATTGTGGTGGAATTGTAGACGATGTTGTACATGCCAGAACACATTGTGTTGGCCGCAATTTGAATAGTAGAGGCAAATGAGCAGCTATCAGATGATGAACATGACGAGCAGGCAGAACATCCGTGACAACGTAGTAATTCATCCCCGTTACAAAAATACGAAGAAATTTTGTCAAGTCCAGCACAAGAATTTCATCATATACCTCTGGGGTTTTTCGTGGAACTGTTTAATTTTGGAAGATTACTGTGTTATTTGCATTGGCCCCCTCCGCCATCCTAATCGAATGAGTCGTTCAATTCCAGTCCCTCTCCTACAGAACGTCAGGTGGTTATTGGTGTCCTAAAGAAATTACGAGGTTCTCGCAAAAAATATTACAAAGGAAATTTGTTATGTCTAGCACAAGAATTTGATAATATATTTCCAAGCTTTTTCATGGATTTCAGGAGATTACTGCGTTGCAATTTGCAAACAGAAAAGGAAGAGAAAACTAGCTCGAAGCTTTCAGGTTCGGAGCTGCCTGACAGGTGGGCCTAACCACCTCCTTCCTCCGACAACCTAAACCCCAACGTCTTCTTAAATTCTGGAAGTAGGAAGAGAGATATACATATACGTAGATCGAGGAGAAACCTTGTCCACGGCTTCGAGTCCGCAGCTGTCGCGCCATGGCCATCCTCGCCGCCGCCCGCCGGGCCTCCTCCCTTCTCCTCCTCCGCGCCTCCTGTGCACTGCTTCGCCCCGCTGCGTCTCCTTTGACGCCAAGGTCGCCTTGCTCATCCTCCTTCTTCGACAGCGCCAAGATCGCCTTGCTCAAAGCCGCGTTGGACTCCATCGACGCCGAGACCGGCTCCTCCGCCTCCGCCGCCGCACTGTACTCCCTGCGCGCCGCGGCTGACTCCCTCGGCGCTTCCACCTTTGACGACCATCTCGTCGCGACATCGACTCCACGATCAAGTCATCCACCCGTCCCACCAAGGTACGTACATAGGCGAATCGATCTCTTCACTGATTGCGATGATGATCTCCGTTCCTTCTTCTTGTCCGTGCTGAACTGCAGTTCCATGTTTGAGATCGATTACTTTCGATTATTAGTGTAGTAACTAATCATGCATGAGAAACTGAGTGGGATCAATTTTTTTCCCGTCTTAAAGCAGATGCAGGAGGCCGAGGGTTTCTTGCCCTTCAAAATAGTAGGTGAAAATAAGTTGGGCAGTAGCAGCAGTACCTTTGCAATTACTCTTAGAAGAACTTATGAGGGTGAGCAGATTGAAATTCGGGCTTACACGTACAACTTACTCTACCATGATAACGGTAGTATCCACCTAAATGTCAGCGTCTCCAAGAGCAATGGCTCGGACCTTCTATTTTCCTGCTCTGCGTATGCCGATTATATCACCATCGATTCCATGAAGATGACGGGGCAGCTTGAATCGCATAATGGTTTCGAGTAAGTATTAAGTCTAAACCTAACTTAATTCATTGGTTTTTTCAAAAAAAAAATGCCTGGTTGAACATTTGCTTCGATTTTTATATCACCAACACATTTATTAAATGCTCCTCATTTGCGGATCTGGTGCAGTAAGCTAGATAAGAATCTGCAAAAGTCATTCTACAAGTATCTGGAACTACGCGGCATCACGCCAACAATGGCCAAACTGTTGCATGAGTACAAGAGGGGCAGCGGACCCCGCACGCAACACTTGTGGCTAAACAAGCTGTCGGATTTCATCAAGAAAGATTGATCTTCATCTAGTGAATATCGTAGGGCAGCATGATCAAGACTCCTATAATTTCCTCTTCCGCAAGAAGTGTTCTTTTATCCGTGTGTTTAAGATCCATTTTTGTAACTATGATTTTGGTGGCATTAAGGCTAGACCTACATAGAGTTAAAACCATGTTAATTAGCGTTTGTTTATTCACTATGTTTGCTTTGCTTACTTCTAACTTACTCGTTAATTCTCAAGTGTATCTGTTCTCAAGTGTATTATGCATTGGAAGCTGAAAAACAGAAATGGGAGACACATTTTGGAAATTTCATATGAAGCACTTAACACTGCTGGAATTGGCAACTTTGCTTAGAGGCGGGGTGTTTGCCGAGTTCCTTTTATCAGGAACTTGGCAAAGACAAAGATAGCCAAGTTCATAGGTAAAAAAAATCGGCAATGACGTCTACATAGAACTCGGCACGGTTATCTTAGAACAAGTGCGGAAAAAAAACTCAGCAAAGCCGAGTGCGCTGCACCGAGTTTGGCACTCGATAAAGATTTCACCGAGTTTAATATGTGCTCTGCCGAGTTTCTTTCAAACTCGACAAAAACGGCGATTCTAGTAGTGCCACTCAGTATTTGCCGGTTACCGTGGTAACAAAAAATCTCGGTGGCCCACAAGATTGTTTGGGATTCGGTAGCCAAAACCCTGGGCCGCTGGGATTGACGCCGGGGCTCCATCGCAATGTTCACTGTTGGAATTGTAGATGATGTTTTATGCGACAAAAGACATTGTGCTGACCATTGTTTTCCCATCAAAGTATCTGCAATCTACCCTAAAAAAGAAGTATCTGCAATCTGAATATAGCAATAAAATGACGAAGACGCGGAGCACAAGGAAATTTGTTCTGTTACAAGAATTTCATAACGTATTTCAGAGGTTTCTCATGGAACTGTTTAATTTTGCTGCAATGCAATTTGTAAACAGAAACGTAATAGGAAACTAGCTGCAATACGGTCCTACTTCTTCAAGAAGCAAAAGTACATGGTCATATTCTGGAACGAAGTAGCAAGAAGAAAGATATACGTACGTAGGTCGAGAACGAAAGCCCCGAAACCTTCTTCACGGCTTCGAGTCTGCAACGCGCGCGTACGCCGCGCCATGGCCCTCCTCGCAGCCGCCCGCCGGGCCTCCTCCCTTCCCATCCTCCGCCGAGCCTCCTCCGCGCTGCTCCGTCCAGCGGCCTTGCCGGTGCCGGCGACCAGGTGGAGGTCGTCCTCCTCCATGCATCGACGCCGCCAAGACCGCCCTAATGAAAGCTGCGATGGACACCGTCCGCGCCGAGCATGGCTCCAGTAGTGCCTCCGCCGCCGCACTCGACTCCCTCCGCGCCGCCGCCGACTCCCTCAGCACCGCCACCTTTAACGTCCAGCTCCTCTACGGCATCGACTCCGCGATCAAGTCCTCAGAGCACCACCGTCTCACCAAGGTACGTGCAAGTACATATATACCCACTGATACGATGATGATCTCCGTTGAACTGCAGTTCCGTACATGTTTGGGATCGATTGCTTTCGATTATTACTAGTCTCTATTCTTAATGGAGTAGTTGGTAGTCTCCGCCGATCAATTTTCGTCCCACCAAAGACGGTTAATTTTCGTCCTCAATCCCACCTCCCACAAACCAGCGATTCCCCCTTCTGCCCTCAAGACCGACAAAAAAAAACGGTATGTTACCACAAGGCCTGTTGTGAAACACTACGGTTCATCGACAGAAAATCGTCCTAAAAAAATCTACCACGGTTAAGCTACGAAAATTAGCCAGACGTTGCCCTCGAGCGACGAGCGAGCGAAGCCTTTGCCCTCGAGCGACGCCACACCACATCCTTCGCCCTCGCAGCCGCCGCCGATCCCCTCCCTCAAACGCCGCCGCCCGTCGCTGCCGCCCCCGCCACCTCCTGTCGTGGGCAGGCGGGAGGAGCCCTGCCCGGCCATGGCGACACCGCCGGCAGCCTCCTCCTACCCCTCACCTTCTCTCCCTCTCCCAAGGGAGGGAAGGGAATGGACACTAGTAGAAAAACACCTAACAGTCCCGGTTTGTAAGGGCCTTTAGTCCCGGTTCATGAACCGGGACTAATGGGTCGTTATTAATACCTCCACCCATTAGTTCCAGTTCAAACACTTACCGGGACCAATGTGCCTCCACGTGGCCCTGTGCGCCGAGCCCAGTCAGGGGGCCTTTGGTCCCGGTTGGTGGCACCAACCGGGACCAAAAATCCATGTTTTTTTTAGAAAAGTGACTGCTTTAGGGGTTTTGGGGGTTATTTTTAGGTTGTTATTAGCTAGCTAATAGAGAGAAGTGTCCTCTCTTATATCTTCGTTGTTGGTTTACCAACGCTGCCGCTATATATGTTCATTTCACCCGCTGATATAATAAATTATGCATGCTCGCATCATACATCATCATATATAATAACAAGTCCTACTAATCATGCGTCATCATATAACTTCTACTCGTTATTAATAATAAGTCATACGATCATCATCCTCATAGTCATCGAACCCAACCCTACATAATTGTTCTTAGCACATGATCATCAGTATCAGGTAGGACCTAAACACCCTTAAGGTAAAATAGCATAAAATAATATAGACCCTGACTCTCCATTATGAAGAATGACGATCATCTTGTCTCCAATTCTTGCCCTTCGCTACTTTTTGCTTTCAAGAAGCTCCTTACGACTGTCCATACATTTTTTTCATTCTTTGATTGTTATGTCTCCACTTCTTTTAGAAACCCGGTATGGACAGTTCAGATTTGTAGGAAGACCTGGTTGTATGTTCAAAACATGAAGGCTACCGTGCGTATACATCAGATGAGGCACACAATCATTCGGGATTATCTGTTGAAAAACATAGTAATAACTTCGTAGTTAGCAATGATGTACTAGTTTTAGAAGTGTGCAAAAAGATGCATGGATGTCGTAATAGTAAAAAATCTTACCAGGGTATCTCTATGGTAGTTACCGTAGTTCAACACGTGCACTAGTGGCACATATTGACCATAATGTTGAGGAGTTTGATTGTAGATATTGTAATTCTCAAGATCAGTACAAAATGCGACCAAATGATTTTTCTCCTGATAAGTTAATCCGGAGCCTTCGGTGTAGTAGGTTCTGTCTATCATCTTCCACACATTCTTTGAAGAATGAAAATAAACTGTCAATGGAAATAAGTTGTCAACTATTTTGAAATAAATAATATAAATTACTTAATAACTATGTTAAGCTCACATGGGGGAAGAATTGGAGGTGTATCCACAAGGACGAAAATCGAAGGTCTCTCTTGCGCGATTGTAGGATCACCAAGATCCATGGTGACAAGCATACCCTCATCAAAACCATACATCTTGCAAAGTGCTTCCCAGTTTTTGCAACCAAAATGGGTTACACTCTGAGCATTGTACATCTTTACTTGAAAATCCACACCATTATGGGTACTTATGATAATTTTTTTGGTTTTCATACTTTCATGGTCTTCAAAACCCATCCTCTCCAAGACATAGCGTCTTGCAAAGCATGTGATAAGCTAGTCGAATTGGAAAAGATGAAAAATACACGTTAAAATAGTTGAAGTCGTGCTTAATTACAAAAAAAACTATTGTCGTCGTTGCGTACCGTATGAACATCGAAGGTCTCCTCGAGCTTAATGCTGAAGCGCTGATCTTTGTCCAGCTCAATGAACCTGTCGCACATACCTCGGTCGCCGTGGCACCAGTCGCACTCCCCCGGGCGGTTTTCATCGTCCGAGTACGACATTTCCGGCCTAAGTTCATAATTCAAATATTAAATATATGTACTAAAAAACCTAAATTAGATCATTATTATTAATCACGGGTTGACTATCGGTGATGGTACGTAGTTCCTCCTTTCATTCCCGAGTGCATTATTACAACAAATTGTCTAGCACACGGGAATGAAGTATAAGCTACCCCCACGACGGCGTGGATGATGGAGGGGGCTCCTAGATTTCTGCATAGAGTGCTCTTCAATTTTAGCATTCAAAGTAGGAGTACTTTTCCAATATTTGCATTCAATAAGCAAAACCAAATCGTAAAATAAAGTAGTATTCAAATTAGCATGCATTCAATTATAACCAAAAGTACATCATCTCTTGTGTCCGTACATCGTCGAATACTCCTCGAATACTATCATACATATAGCATCGCTAATTAATACAGCTAGAACCGTAGCGCCCGACGGGTATCGTCGCGGGCGGTGGACACCCAAAGATAAGGAACGATCACAGGATCATAGCTCCATTGAGATCCCTGAAGAACCTGCCAGGTATTGTCGAACCTGCCCTCCAACGCAACCATGTAGCGACGGACGTGCTCGTCCTCCTCGCTGACACGGTGACGTACCACCTTCGCGGTGTCCGGAAGCCTCGACACCGTTACTGGCACATGCGACCACCACCAAACAAGGATCGGGTCAACAACGGGCTCCCTCCTCACCAACCTACGTCCCCCAGAAGATAGCACCTCCCAATACCAGCCCGGCGGAGCCCAGTCCCGAACATGGCCCTGATCAAGCAGGCCTCCACCGCCGAGTCGACGACGACGAGGATGCGGGATAGGCATCGCCGACGTCGATGCGGGAACTATGTACTTCTATATATAGTTAAATAAAGTAGTTTTACTAATTAAATCAACTATCTAGTTCAACTACTAAGCACTTACTATAAATAAATAAAGTAGTACTTACTAAAAACAAAGTAGCACTTACTATAAATAAATAAAGTAGCACTTACTATAAATAAATAAAGTAGCACTTACTACAAACTACTTCTATATATAGTTAAATAAAGTAGTTTTATTAATTAAATTAACTATCTAGTTCAACTACTAAGCACTTACTATAAATAAATAAAGTAGTACTTACTAAAAACAAAGTAGCACTTACTATAAATAAATAACGTAGCACTTACTATAAATAAATAAAGAAGCACTTACTACAAACTACTTCTATATATAGTAAAATAAATTAGTTTATTAAATAAACTAGCTAGTTCAACTATATATGAAGCACTTACTATAAATAAATTAAAATAGTACTTACTAAAAATAAACTAGTATTTTTCTAACTAACTAGTATTTTTCTAACTAATTATATTACCAAAAAAATAAACTAGTACTTACTAACACAATCTAAATATCACCAAAAAAATCTATTAACAATAATATCACCAAACATGCATATTCAACAATAATATCACCAAAAAAATCTATTAATAGAAAAAAATCTAACACAATATGAACAAATTAATTACACAATCTAAATTAACATACTATGAACTACATATCTAAATTACTACACATCTAATCTAACAAAAAAAATCTATAAACTACAAAAAAATCTAACAAAAATCATAAAAAGTTGCTCACGGCAAGGTCGACGGCGACGGCGAGGTGCGGCGCGGGGCGGCGACGGCGTCG